CGTGGGGCGCATCAAGAACGCGCTGCTGGACAAGGCCTTCAGGCCGGACGTGGAGCGCCAGCCGTCGGCCGGGAATGACACCCGGTTCGCCATCGATACCCCGCTGGCGTCGTTTAAGTCCGCCGAGGTTCAGGTGTCCTCGAAGGATTGTAATTTGGAGGGCACCTCGAGCGTGCACGGCTTTTTTGAGGATTCCTATAAGTCGATGCTGATGAGCTTGGAAAAAGAACCCCAGCCTTCTAAGCTGATTGGGCAAGAGCTCTTTGGGATTAAAAAGCTGAATATCGCGGAGGAAAGCATCAACTACAAGACCGCGGCTCAAATGCCGATGGAGACGTATTTGGTGACCTACGTCCTCCCAAGCCTGACCCCGGCCCTGAACGAGGTCGTGAAGCTTCGCCCAGACGATCCAATCACCGTATTGGCGGACATCCTCTATGATTATAAGCGCCGGAAGGACGTGTAAAAAGGAGAGGCGCGTTGGTGAACTGTTGGAGAACCCAAAGGAAACCATTAGAGTAGGAGAACGTGATCACGATGTGTATTTATTGGGTGCTTACTCCTATTTGCAGAAGCTGCATGGTTTTCATTTTTTTCCTCACATCTATGCGATAACCCTTACATTATTTCCCTCTTTTTTTTTCGCGAACCTTTTCTTTATTCGCCGTGCGCGTGTGTGTATCTGTGTAGGTTCATAGCGTCGATACTCCCACCTACGTTATCTAAAACTTCATGTAAATTATTTCATTTTGTCTTGATATTCAACCCTTTATTTTTTTTTATTGTGTTTGTGCCCTGTCAGAAGGTGACTTCGCAGGATGGAGCTAGAATACCAACCACAATCAATAAGCAAGAATAGAGGAATGGAGACAGGGTGACATTTATAGCGGCATACCGGCTCTTCCGCGTTGTACTATTTTGTGAAACCATATAGTATCGAATACCGTCCTACCATGAATAGGTCTTTGTGAACAGGATCATCTGGTTTGCTTCTTCTTTATGCATATCGATATATACATATATATATATATATATATTTAACCCCCCTTTTTTTCTTTCCCACCATCACTTTTTATAGGATTAGCTTATATATTTCCACAGATCCTTATATATATTTATCTCTCTCTCTCTCTATCTCTATACGTCTATTATTCCGCTACGGTGAACGGCTTGACCGGACCCCCCTCCCCCCCTTCCTCACGACGTCGATCATGGAGGACGTGCACCCGAAGGTTGCCGTCAACCCACTTTTAGAAAAAATGCGAAAACTCCAAGAGCAGCGGGCGCGGGCGGTGGGCAAGAAGGACCCCCTCCCCCCCCCTCGGTGCGGGTGGCCGGGTCGGGCCATTCCTCCGCCTCCCCCCTGTCCGGGGCCCTGGCGGGGGGGCGGGCGGAGGCCCCTGGGCGGCTCACCCCGACCTCCTCTTTATCCGTCAAGCCCAACGAGGCCGAAAAGACGGATCCGGAGCGGCTTTTGAAGAACGCCCCGCCCATTTTTGCCTCCCCGGCGCATGCCGTGTTGGCCTATCGCGACCGCGCGGTGGATCCGCTGTGTGGGCCCTTCACCTCCCTCACGGTGGTGGAGATGTTGACCACCCTGCTTCTCGGGGAACGCGGGGAAAAGGCGAAGGAAAAGACGAAGGAAAAGGACCGGGACGACGCCGCCGCGATGGCGTTTTTTCTCGACGGGATGAGGCGCCGGCGGCGGACGTGGGATCGCCTCGCCGGGCCCGCCGAGGCCGGGGACGACGCCGTGGTCGGCCTCCACGACTCGCCGAGGTACCGCCGGCGCTGCGAGGAGGCGCGGATCGACGCCTCCGGCCAGGAGCGCCCGGCTTGTCGGGATGTCAATCACTACGTCCGGCGCGATCGCATCGCGCACGGGGTTTACGGGGTCGTCTTCAGCGCCGTCGAGGCCGCGGCGTCGCCGCGGGTGGCCTCCGAGGCCCCGCCCTCGACCTCCCCGCCGAGGTTTTTCGCCCTCAAACACATCAAAAAACAATGGCTGGAGGAATCCCAAGTGGGCTTCCCGCCCTATTTGATGCGCGAGTTCGATTTGCTGCTGCGGATTCGGCATCCGAATATCGTGCGGACGCGCGAGGTGGTCCAGCTCGATCCGATTCCCCGCCCGGAGGCCCTTTCCCCCTCTTCCTTCGAGGATTCGCCCTCGACGGAGAAAAGCCGAGGCGGCGTCGGGGCCTCCACGGCGATCGCCGGCCCTTTAAAAAAAATCCCCAGCGCGAAGGATGTGTTTCTCGTGATGGAGTACTGCCCGTTAGACCTGAAAAGCTACATGCTGCGCTATTCCCGGCGGACGCACACGCCGTATTTGCACATCAGCTCCCGCCATCCCCACCCGGAGGCGCGTTGGCACTTTCTTTCTCGGGTGAAGTGCATTTTACTTCAGCTTTTCAACGGCCTGGGCTTCCTCCACGCCCACCGCATCCTCCATCGCGATCTCAAGCTCTCGAACGTCTTGTTGGACGCGGAAGGGCAGGTGAAGTTGTGCGATTTCGGCCTCGCGCGGAACTACCACGAGGGCCAGCGCCTCACGCCGACGGTGGTGACGTTGATCTACCGCGCGCCGGAGCTGCACCTCGGGGTCGGGGATTACTCCCACACGATGGACATTTGGTCCATGGCCTGCGTGATGGCGGAGCTTTTCCTCAAGCAGCCGATCTTCCCCGCCAACCGCGAGGCCGACCACCTGCTGGCGATCTGCGAGGTGCTCGGGATCCCGACGGAGGAGAGCTTCCCCGGGGTCTACAAACTGCCCAACGCGAAGGAGGCCTTGCGGGGGATCGGGCGGTGGAATCGCGCGTGCAAACTGCGGGAGGTCTTCGCCCGCAGCGCCTGCGCCGACGCGGCGGCGCTGCCGGCGAGCGGGCTCGACCTGCTGACGTGGATGTTTAACTGGTGCCCGGCCCGGCGGCCCTCCGCC